GCCTCGGTCATCTGCCGAAATCCATAGCTGCACGTAAAAAACTCTGTAATTAGTAAATTCGCCATGGATTAAATGAATCATAGCCCTCGACCATAATGTACTTACTCTGACTGGTAAGTCCCCAGCGCCCTGTCCGGAATGTTGGGCGTCTTCAGCAGTTGAAGCAACGACACAAAACCAACAAACAGAGCGATGGGAACATCCGACTTGCATATGAACAAGACAACTAGAAGAAGTTGTTTAGACGCGCCACTTCACCTGCCTCATCCTCATACTCGTCAATACCGCACTGACAAACCTTCCCACCTTCCGCACGCTCCTTTCTGTTGAGGGCGTCCTGGTGCTTCCGGGACAAACCATGCTTGCGCATGGTTTGTTTCTGGATGTCGATTCCTTCTTGCCCGTTCTTTCCGTACTGCCAATTAGGCGGCCCGTATGTTGTGCAGATCGTGCATTTCATGCCGGGCTTTCCGTCGTTGCGCTGCGAAATCACCAGCCACGGGAACCATCGACGCCATATGTCGCGGCACTTTGCCCGCAACTCGGACAAGAGAGCGTCCGGGTCAGGGATTAGCACCGTAGGCGTTGTCGGACCCGGGTCACGTCGCGGGGCACTTCCTCCAGCAGCAGCAGGTGGCGTGGATGTCGTTGCCTCCGCACGCGGCCGCGCTTGCGGGATGCGGGCGTGTGGCACACGAGTTCTGGCGAACCGAAGTGTGCTTTGCGTGAAGCACCCAGTCGTTGGGAAACGAATACGGCTAGCTGACCGTGCAGCACTGACGGAAGTCGTTGCGACACGGCCGCCGTTATTATCCGGCGATGCATCGACAGGCTGGTCGCTTAGCGGACGGCGCAAATTCACCTCGGGCCAAGGCTCGGTACTAGCTGTGGGAGGATTTTCTGGGGGCAACACGGGGGTGGGCGGCTCGGCGGTAGGTAATTCGGGCGGGGCTGACGGGGTGAGGCATCTGAGGAATTCTAGGCCTGTCTTCTGTTGTGGGGGCTGAGAACTGGGAGGACGTGCAAGAACCGGTCCCCCAGAAGGATCAGCCAGAGAGACTGCAACCGGTGCTGCGAGCGGTGTGACTGTGGTGCTGTCGCGAAAGAAGCAACGGGAAGCACCTGAGTCAAGCGTGAAGGTGTGCAAGGCCTCAGCAGGTGCAGTACCAGAGAGAGAAGACTCACTAGCACCTAGAGCAGACTCACCAGCACCTAGAGCAGACTCACCAGCACCTAGAGCAGACTCACCAGCACCTAAAGCAGCAGCCGCTATACCAGGGTCGGGCGGCACACACAAGTAACAGTCACCCTGAGTACTAATAGACAAAGCATACATGGCAGTGACGATAGTGTCACTAGAGCAAAGATATCCACCTTGCTCCTAAGCAGATCTAGCTAGCGGGGGAGCTCAGCCTCGTCGCCAAACACTGCACGCCAGGCGTCGCGCAGACAGGCGAAGCAGCGAGCCTGTGTATGACCAAGTGTCCCGCAAGTCTGACAAGCCCGATCACCTGTGCGAATGACGTACGGGCAGCGGACAATACTCCAAGTCCCCCCACTCTGAGCGTACCACTCACGAAGCTGCTGGGGCGTAAGGGTCTCGGCGGACGCCGCTGCAGCTGCATCTGGCCTCCGCCAGAAACTCCGCACTAAACAGCTCCACCACGACTGCTACTACGGCCGCCGCCACCACACCTATTGGCGTACCACTCACGAAGCTGCTTGGGCCTGAAGGGTCTCGCGCGGACGCCGCAGCAGCTGCATCTGGCCACCGCCAGAAACTCCGCACCGAACAGCTCCACTGCGACTGCCACGACGGGCGCCGCCACCACTCCAGCTGCTGTCACCATCGCCGTCACCGCTCCGACCGCTACCACGAAGAGAAGTCATAGCGGGCCAAGTAAGGAGGCGTGCGACAAGAAGGGCAGTACGGAGGGAAGGCAGTAGCACGAGCAGCAGTAGCAGCAGTAATAGCAGCAGAGCTGCTCGGTGAGGCTAGGCTGCAGCACCTCCAGCACTCCTAGCAGTACCTCCTCCAGCAGCAGCAGGAGCACGAGCAGCAGGGTGGATCGGGTTGGGCGGCTCGACTCGGCCTGGGCGGCGCGGGCAGCAGGGCGCGCGCTGTGCAGGGCAGCAGGGCGCGGCGCGCGGGCTGCAGCAGGGCGCGACGCGCGGGCTGCAGCAGGGCGCGACGCGCGGGCTGCAGCAGGGCGCGATGCGCGGTGCAGCAGAGCGCGACGCGCGGGCTGCAGCAGGGCGCGACGGCGGGCTGCAGCAGGGCGCGACGCGCGGGTCAGTAGGGCGCGATGCGCGGGCCGCAGCAGGGCGCGACGTGCGGGGCAGCAGGGCGCGACGCGCTGGATGCAGCAGGGCGCGACGCGCGGGGCAGACGTAGGGCGCGACGCGCAAGGCAGCAGGGCGCGACACGCAAGGCAGCAAGGCGCGACGTGCGGGCTGCAGCAGGGCGCGACGCGCAGGGCAGCAGGGCGCGGGCTGCAGCAGGACGCGGGGCAGAGCAGGGCGCGCGCGGGGCAGCGCGACGCGGGGCAGGGCAGGGCGTACGCGGGGCAGCGCGACGCAAGGCAGGGCAGCGCGTGCGCGGGGCAGCGCGACGCAAGGCAGGGCAGGTCGTGCGCGGGGCAGCGCGACGCAAGGCAGGGCAGGGCGTGCGCGAGGCAGCGAGACGCAAGGCAGGGCAGGGCAGGGCGCGCGTTGTCGGCGCAGCGTAGAGCAGGGCGTGGGGTAACGCGGTAACCGCAGTCGGTCACTAGGTAATGTTGGGCCCGAAAAAAAACGGCCCTACGGACCTACTACTCTGAAACCATGCCAGAAACTAACGAGTGGGAATGATGGCATTGACATCAAACTGAGTACAAGTATAACCCTAATTGGGTTGTTGTACCCCACATAGGCTACCCCACTACAGCCTACACAACACAAGTAGCATTATTGTTTGACAAGTTTTACCAGGCAAAAAGTGCATTCGTGATACGGGGTTTCCTGATATGAGGCCGTTGGAACACGCCATAAGAAAAAAATGATATATACCTAACGATTGCGATGAACAGCAACGAGACATAAAATTATGTCACATAGTGTTGAGTTTCCTTAAATTTTACATGGAAGATTGTGTAATTGGGCAAAAACTTGTAATGATTAGACCTTCAAATTGGTGCATCAACACGCAAACATAAAATACAGAGAAGTTTGATTGAGGAAATGTATATGTTTCAGTCAATGTACTTTCACAAATGTTTTATCGTCAGCACAGCAGTTTGCTTCGAGACCCAGAGCCAATGGGGCGCAAGTACCAGGCCTCCAACCAGGGTCCCGAAGCAAAGATGTGTAACCGAAGCTGCAAGCCAAGCTGCGCAGCCAAGCACTTTCGAGATTTTCGAAGGTGCTCGGTTTGGTACTGTAGGGGCGCGCAGCGTCGAAGGTATCTTTCCTCACTGGGCTCGACATGATACCTCGAACATACCCGCAGAAAGCATACCACCTCTCGCCTCCGCTCTTTTTTGGGATGGGATAACGCCGGAGGCACGTGTTCCAGCTAAGGACGTGGCCCAGACCGCCTCTGATTCCTCGATCAGAGGCGATCAATAACTTCCAAGAAGCCCCAAGGCCAATTTCAAGCAATCAGGGGCAATCAGCTGATCGCGATCAATTGATCGCCCCAACTCGATCAACCGCCTAAAACACCCCAATCAATCACGACCACACACAATCAGTCACGATCAGTTGATTGCATGTGATTGGGGATCTTGGCGACACTTGCGAAAACGTTACATGTTTTCGTTAAGCTCGTCAAACCGTCGTGCATGAATTCGTAAAGTGTAATTTGCGACATTACATGGAAACGATTAATTCGCTACGTCTTCGTTCTCGCCAAAATAGGGACGAAAGGATAAGGAAACGCTGACGCGCCTGCTGGGTACTCGCCTTGAATTTTCTAGGAATAACAGCACTGCTCGGGCGGCGCGAGCAATGCAATCACAAGCAACCCGATCAGATCAGACCCGATCAGATCAGCGCCGATCAGAGGCGGTCTGGGCCGCGTCCTAAGCTTGTCTTTAGACCTCATCGGTGCCGTCTTTACACCTTACTGACCGTGCCCTGGTAAAAATCCCGCTGCGAGGTATCTGACAGGATCGAGCTTCCCCCTTCCCCAGATTGTTATTGGCCAACTAACACGAATAACAATCCCCCCTGTCCCCCTGTGAGCTGGACTGATGACGTGACCTTTACACGTCATAGGTGCCGTCTTTACACCTTCCTGACCGTGCTCCCGCTGCGAGGTATTTGACAGGATCGAGCTTCCCCCACAATCCCCCCTCCCCAGTCCATTTACCTAGTAGGTCGATTGTTCTTAGCCAACTAAAAGTCCGATTTGCGCGAACAGCTCGCCTGTGAGCTGGACCTTCTCCCAAGTGTGTGCGAAACTCATCGTGCTCACCGCGCCTAGCAAGGCCTTACCGATCGATATTCCTTCACACCACAACTCCTCTGGCAGTGACCCGTCCCCCTCTCTCCGGGCCGCTTCCGTCTCCGCCCCACGGATTAGGTTGCGACGGTTTTGTCAAAGGGTGTTCCCTTTCAATCAAAGTAGTTTAGTAGCTAGGACTTAAGTAAATATCGCAAACACCCAGTGCATGTACTAGCTATTCCACTACGAAACTGCCGTACCGGGTACGCGCCGCTCACGGCGAGAATGGACACAATCAATGTTTCCTCCCAAACGACTCAACAGCGCCGCCTTCTCATCTCACGAATATGTACCACCACACATTCGCATCCTTATCCACCGTTTTGCCGTCTCGATTCTCATCTTCTCTCGAGCGTTTACCACCACAGATTTTCCCAACATCGGCGCTTCGATCTCTCATCTTTTGTTCTCGATCGATGAGAACAAATGCCTACTAGTAGTAGTTTCTCATGCATCATTGCACAGCCGCCAGCACTAGGATCACCAGATCGTTCTCTTTCAACCCGCAGCCATCATGGCCCACACGTCCTCATCGTTGCCGCGCGTCCTCACTTTTGCCGTGCTCTACTCCTCGCTCTGGCTGGCGATTCTTCCACGCTCCACGGATGCCGTGTCCCTCTCGTACGTGCTGAGTCAGCTGACCAACATGGGCAACACGGGCTCCAAGGCCGCGAACATGTCCGCGGCAATGGTGGAGTTTGCCGCAGGATACGACAAGGTGACGGACATTGGCGGATGCTCGCTTCTTGTACCCTACAACGACGGCTGGACCCGCGCGCTCGCGGGCTACAAAACCAAGAACCCGTCTGCGACTACCGCGTCGGACCCGATTCTCGAGGCGCTCAGCACGGTGGTGAACTCGCCGGGGTCCGTGGCGCCGCTCAACGCCATGTCTGCCAACGCCAAGAACGCCCTGTCCCGCCTCGCCAAGTTCCTGGCGGTTGCTACCTACATTGCACCCATGGACATGGTCACTGGCAGCGTGAGTGTTCCCCCACTTGCAGCAAGCCCAGATGTTTTTTGTTTTTTTGTTTTTTTCTTGCTTTGCGTCTTCACCATCATTCCCCGAAGTTGCACGTTTCCTAGCAACCCACATCACATTGCTTCTTATGCATCCGTTTCCCTTCCAAACAGTACAAGACCGGGAGGTTCAGCCTCAGCACGGAGGTCAACCAGCCAGTGTATCTCTACGGCAACGCCAGTGGCAGCCCCTTCAAATCTGCTAGTTTAGATCATGCCTTCACTGGAACCGACCGTGGCTCTGATGCCAGTGCCAAAAATGGGCTCATGGCGGGGGTAGACGCTGGAGGGCCGAAAGCTGTGGCGGGTGCGAAGAGTTCTGTTTCTATGACTTCCACCACTTCAATTCTGGACAAGACAACGTCATCCTCTCAAGTGTCCGCGACCTATCTGACTGACGTGGTGTTCCCTGCCAACATGGGCTCGCTCACCAGCACCGATGCCGTTGGCATATATGGCAAAGGTACGTACGTCGTGGGGTGTGCCAGGCTACGAGCAGGCCTTGTGTGACTCGCTGAGTGCAGCAATGCTGCGACAGGAAGATAGAGATGTAGATGATGGGTGAGTACCCTGGCTGTTTGACGTGCTGCCATGCCCTGCTCTTGCCACATGATGCCTGTCCAACCGTGAGTGCTGCTGTGGCAGAGCCTTAACCAGGATTTGAATTTTCTCTCTTTGCTTGTGCAGGTGCTGGCAGGCTTGCCAAGTCCCTTGGCCTGATTATTTCTCTTGTTGCCGCTGTTCTCCTTTTTTAGAATTGGATATGTGCACCACTGTTGATCTACGGTACTAGTGGTAGTTCGTTTGGCTACCGGTATTCGTTTGCCTTCTTTTCCAGATTGTTTAAGAGCATGGCTGGTGTGCTGTGTTCATATTATCTGAACTGCAAATTTTCCGCCCAAAAGGACGGACATTTTTAACAGAGTGGCTCATGCAAGAGAGTCACACGGAGAGGTGGAGTGGAGCTGATGCAAGGTATAGGAGATGGAAAGGCATATATGGGTGATGTGAGGGAGGGGAGGGGAGATAACTGTCAAATAACTGCAGTTGAAGTCAACTGTCATTTACCGGTACCTGTACCTCAAGAGCATAGCCAGGTTCAGAAAGGTGGCCAAGTGCTGTGAGGAGTAGGCAAGAGCTGCTGGTTCCCGCAATCAGGGCCCAAAATATCAGGGTAAAACGCCCTGATTACCCTGGGGGCCTGTCCCTTTTTCAGGATTACCCTGCCGAAATCAGGATTGCGCTATAGTTACCCTTCTCATAAAAGTGCATGTTTTTTTTTACCCTGATAGGTTTTTAGCTTACCCTGGCGGAATCAGGGTTGGGTGTACACTACCCTGTTACCGAATCTGTTCTAACGCGAACCTGACTATAGTCCGCGTGGTGACAAAACGTACAACACCCCCACAAACACCCGTTGTCGCTCGTGCCCACGCGCACGGAAACTTGCTGCGTACTTGGCATCACGCCAAGAATCCGCATTGGTTGTTTCTGCCGCAGGGCTGCCACCAATGATTGCACCTCGTCAGTTTTCGCCACGCCCACCGCCATCACAGCAGAATTGGCTGTCAAGGACAGCTTCAATGACCTTGTCATCCAGTTGCAGCCTCAGTGCTGCCTTGCTGGCCATCACAGGGCCCGCCCCGTGGAACATACTGCCCTGTCGAGGCTGCCAGAGGCGCCTTCTCTACGAGGGGGTCTCTCGCTTGGCCCTCGTTGTGCATGCATGTGGTGCGTGCGTGGATTTCAAGGACTGTATAAGGAAAACTTGAATATGTCACCAAAAGTAAGGAAACTCTCAAAATAGACACAAAACCAGGATTAGCCTAAAACTACCCTGCTCGAATCAGGCTAGTGGCAGAGTTACCCTGCTGGAAACAGGGTATGAGATTTTTTACCCTAGGGGTCTGCCTATGGAGGGGCTGGTACCCTGATTCGTAAGGGTAGACCTAAACCAATTTTGGGCCCTGCCCGCAATCCCAAAATTGATGCATAAATCTGTGCAAAAGTGCCGTGAGAAACAGATCAGCTACGGTGCATCCTGCAAGGCTACAGCAGCCCAAGAACTGCAGGGAGTTGGGTAGAGAGAGCAAAGGACAGTGAGGAATTGGGGTTTACCATCTCATCTCAGTAAACGAAGTCTGGTTTGATTACCTGTAGCAGGAATTCTGCTGCACAGTCTGTGGAGCATTGAAAAAGATAACTACCTACCACTGCAACTGTGTGGAACTTTTGTGCAGTAGGACTCTTACGGTATTAAAATCCATCTCCAGAGTGGCTGCTTGAAAGAACAGTTGATCAAAAGAATGCAGCGGCAAGGGAGGCACACACAACTGCAGGTACCGGTAGGTAGGTACTCTTGTTTCGTCTACGAGTGGTACCGTACAAAATTTTCCATTAAACTGTAAGGCATGGCATGATGGCGCGTTGAGTCAAGAGTGGTGCCCTGAATAACACTAAGCACCATCCAAGGTGAGAAATAACATGCTACCGTAGTCAAGTCAACTCAACTCAAGTCAACACAAGTCAAGTCCTCCACCCTGCCACCCCGCCATTCCTGCCACTCCTCTCAGGAGAGGCACTGTGTGACCGGGGGCATAGTCAAATCACGTAGGGCTTGAACACCTTGGCATACACAGGCCAGCATGGGAGAATTGCTATGAGCGCTTGCACTTGGGGCTCGGTTTAGGTGGGAAGCAGTTAGATGTGTACCTGCAGGGTGGGAAGGGGAAAGAAGGGGGGAGGAGATGAGGTGAGTTGTATGGGTGTTAGTGCCTCAAGACGTGCCTAAAAAGGTGTCTTCAACTGTGCATAAAACGGTGCTTGAGTAGACGCATCAGTGGGTGGGGTGGGAAGGGAACAGAAGCTCTGAAAGCGTGAAAGCATGTGCAGCGGCTAGTGGCTCCCAAGTCTGACCCACAACCATTCTTGAAAGATGCTGTGGGAGCATTTTGCAAGGCTGAGTTGCATTCTGCATGCCTCCCAAGTCTCAACCACAACCATTCTTCCCCTCCCCTTCCCCACCCTCTTCAACAGAGCGAACTTGAAGTCATTCTGGCGGTTTGCAGGCACCTTTGGCCCAGCGCCACTGAGATAGTTGCCGCTCGCCTTGAGTCCTGGGGCAATCTCCCAACTCTCACACACAGCCATTCTTTTCCTCCCTCCTTCCCCCCTTCTTAGAACTCACTTGAACACAATCTGACGGCCTGCAGGCACCTTTGGCACGGCACCACTGAGGTAGTTGCCGCTCACATCGCTGGGGAGAATGGGGAGAGGAGAGAACAGGACAGAGAGGGAATTAGTCAACGGGGCTGGGATGACTGACGGGTGGATTTACAGGGAGATGATGTACGAATGTATTTTCAGGGAAATGATACACACAGCTAGTTTCCAAGGCACACTGGGGATGTCACATTGGGGATGGCACATTGGGGATGGCACATTGGGGATGGCACACTCACAGCGCGCACGCATCTGGTTAAGTCACAGCGCAGCGCACAGGTGCGTGGCACTTTGAGAAGTCTCAGAAGCGAGTTATGAGGCGTCTAGAACGCACGGAAGAGTGTGGCAGGCAGGCAGGCACACTCACAGGTGCTTGAGTGTCCTGGGAGCAAAGAGCTTGGCAGCAAGCGGTAGTGCAGTTAGTTATAAGTCATTGCCTTGCTAACGACTCTGTTGCAATGACACATGACACACTGTGGCAGGCAGGCAGGCACACTCACAGGTGCTTGAGTGTCCTGGGAGCAAAGAGCTTGGCAGCAAGCGGTAGTGCAGTTAGTTATAAGTCATTGCCTTGCTAACGACTCTGTTGCAATGACACATGACACACTGTGGCAGGCAGGCAGGCACACTCACAGGTGCTTGAGTGTCCTGGGAGCAAAGAGCTTGGCAGCAAGCGGTAATGCAGTTAGTTATAAGTCATTGCCTTGCTAACGACTCTGTTGCAATGACACATGACACACTGTGGCAGGCAGGCAGGCGCACTGACAGGTGCGTGAGTGTCCTGGGAGCAAAGAGCTTGGCAGCAGGCGGTAGGGAGCCCCAGAGGAAGTTGTTGGAGAGAAGGCTGACGCACGGGAGGGCGGGGGGGAATATGGGCAGCAGGAGGCAGGGGCAACCCACAAGGAGATGTTATAGAAAATGCTGGTGAAGGGGAGTGGGGAGGGAGAAGATGAGGGGGGAGGGAAGAGATGCGATGGGAAGGGTAAAAGAGGCGAATGGGTTTTGAGATGCGATTCAAAAGATGGGGAGGGGTGGGGGAGGGAGGGGGGGCTTGAGATGCGTGGCAGCTTGAGCAACACACATGGGAAGCGGCTGTGCAAGCGAGCAGCGTTCGCCACAAAGTGCTTGAGAGACACCATGCCCGCCCATGCACAGTCTTGCGTCGACTCAGAACCCATGCACAGTCCCACCCACAGGCGCAGCCCCACGCACAACCAGCAATGCCACCACTCACATGTCTGAGATGCGTGGCAGCTTCAGCAGCGCAGAGGGGAAGCGGCCGCGCATGCGAGCAGCGTTCGCCACAAAGTGCTCGAGAGACACCATGCCCGCCCATGCTGCCGGCACCGCCCCTCCTAGATTCAGCCTCTGCAGATTGCTGTCAAGGGGAGGGGGTGGGAGGAGGGGAGGAGGGATGGAACGGGACCGGGGAACGAGAAGGGTACGAGCTTGAGCCTGGCGCAAGGCTCACACTAGCTTGATTCTTGAGGCGCCTCATTAATAACTTGAGAGACACCATGCCCGCCCATGCTTCTGCAGTTTGCTGCTAAATAAAGGGGTGGCGGAGGGGAGGAGGGGAAGGGAAGAAGGAAATGCGGGACCGTGGAGGGGGGGTGGGGAGGGGAGAGGTGTTGGTTGGCACATGCATAAGCCAGGCAGCAGCCTCATAAGTGGGGGACGGATGAGAGCAGGGAGAGGGGAGGTGTTGGTGCGAGTATGAGGCCGGCAGCAGTCTCACTGGGCCAAGGGGGAAGGAAGGGCCAAGGGGCCAGGGTGGAGGGGGGAGAGGGGAGGGGCCAGGGGCCAGGGGGGATGGGCCAAAGGGGAGGGGCCAGGGGGGAGGGGGGAGTGAAAGGGATGGTTGCGAGAAAGGTGCATAAAGAATAAAGGCAGCAATACGGCAGTGGCATCAGCACGGTTGGGGCAACACTAGAAACTCGGGGGAGTTTCTGCAGATTACACTCACAGGGTCTGGAGCTTCTTGAGATTACCCCAGCTTGCTGGCATGGGCCCTTGAAACCTGTTTCCGCCCAGGTCCCTGCTCGCACACATTAAAGGGACACAACAGGTGGGAGACAAACGGGTATTCAAGGCAAGGAAGGGGGGGGGTGGATCGGAGGAAAAGGGGGAGGTAGGTCGGAGGAAAAGGGGGAGGTAGATCGGAGGAAAAAGGGGAGGAAGGGAAAGAAGGCAAACGGCGAGGGGCACTTGTGTGGGGGCAGTCACACTAGAAGCAGTCACACTAGAAGCAGTCACACTAGAAGCAGTCACACTAGAAGCAGTCACACTAGAAGCAGTCACACTAGAAGCAGTCACACTAGAAGCAGTCACACTAGAAGCAGTCACACTAGAAGCAGTCACACTAGAAGCAGTCACACTAGAAGCAGTCACACTAGAAGCAGTCCCACTAGAAGCAGTCACACTAGAAGCAGTCACACCAGAGGCAGTCCCACTAGAAGCAGTCCCACTAGAAGCAGTCCCACTAGAAGCAACGTGTGCTCACAGGATCGTGAGCTGCCTCAGGTTGCCAAGCCCCGGCAGCAGCGCGCCGGTCATCTGGTTGTGGGATGCGGCGAGGCGTGTCAGATTGGTGAGGGTGGCGATGCCACGTGGCATTGGCCCTGTGATGCGATTCAGACTCACATCGCTGCGGGGGAGGGGAGGTGTGAGAAGAGTAAGGTAAGGGGGGTTGTGTTGGGGTGGGATGGGGAGAAAGAAAGAGATTTGGGGAGTGTTTTGGACGCCTGAGGAGTCAGGTTGGTGAGGGTGGCGATGCCACATGGGATGGGTTTTGTGATGTGATGCATGTTCAGCTCGCTGCATGTGTGGGAAGAGTGGAGGGATGGAGGGAGGAGTTTGTTTGGAGACAAATGCCACGCCGGATGGCCCCCCCCTGATGTGATTCGTGCTCATGTTGCTGTGGGGGAGGGGATTTGTGGCAAGAAGAGGGGGTGGGGGGGGGAAATTCACTTTGGATACGGCAGGAAGCGCTGGGATATGGCAGGAAGGGATGGGATACAGCTTCTGGAGGGACTTCAAAGAGGAGAGTGTGTTGGGGATGCCAAAGGAACAACATCCTAAATGAGAAAAGGGAAGGTATGGAGGAAGGGGGCGAGGAGAGCAGCGGGCTGGAATACAGAAAAGGGTGCTACAGCGAGGGATGGGTGAGGAGACAGCGGAAAGGCATACAGCTTCTGGAGGGATTTCAAAGCGGAGAGCGTGTTGGGGATGTCAAAGCAACGATCATATTGGCCACTGGCCAGAGGAAAGGGGTGGAGAGCAGTGGATAGGCATACAGCTTCTGGAGGGATTTCAAAGTGGTGAGTGTGTTGGGGATGGGGCTGACCATGTTGTTGTTCTACTCTTGCACTGATGAAGGCCTAGCAGGTATGATATCGGTGCGAAGCCGAAAGAGGTTTGCGTGTTGACGCAGCGACGTACAGATATTGGAGGGATTTCAAAGTGGAGAGCGTGTTGGGGATGGGTCCGACCATCTTGTTGTCCATAAAATTGCTGCGCACATGAGCAGCACCCACATGCAGCACATGCAGCACATGGCAGCACATGACAGCACATGGCAGCACATGGCAGCACATGGCAACACATGCCAGCATAAGGAGCAGCAATTGTCGAATCACATCAGGTAGCATCACAACACAACACTTCACATTGTAGCACATGACATGTCATGACATGCCATGCCATGCCATGCCATGCCATGACATCACATCACAAGACTTCACATAGCAGCACATCACAAGACATCACATCACATCACATCACATCACATCACATCACATCACATCACATCACATCAAATCACATCACATCACGTAACGCATCAACATACAAACAACAAATGCATGCATTGTACTTCGATTAGAAACATGGGGCATGCGAGCATGGGAGGAACGTGGAAACTTTTGAGTCGACTCAAAAGTCACCTCGAGCATGGGAGGAACGTGGAAACTTTTGAGTCGACTCAAAAGTCACCTCGAGCATGGGAGGAACGTGGAAACTTTTGAGTCGACTCAAAAGTCACCTCGAGCATGGGAGGAACGTGGAAACTTTTGAGTCGACTCAAAAGTCACCTCGAGCATGGGAGGAACGTGGAAACTTTTGAGTCGACTCAAAAGTCACCTCGAGCATGGGAGGAACGTGGAAACTTTTGAGTCGACTCAAAAGTCACCTCGAGCATGGGAGGAACGTGGAAACTTTTGAGTCGACTCAAAAGTCACCTCGAGCATGGGAGGAACGTGGAAACTTTTGAGTCGACTCAAAAGTCACCTCGAGCATGGGAGGAACGTGGAAACTTTTGAGTCGACTCAAAAGTCACCTCGAGCATGGGAGGAACGTGGAAACTTTTGAGTCGACTCAAAAGTCACCTCGAGCATGGGAGGAACGTGGAAACTTTTGAGTCGACTCAAAAGTCACCTCGAGCATGGGAGGAACGTGGAAACTTTTGAGTCGACTCAAAAGTCACCTCGAGCATGGGAGGAACGTGGAAACTTTTGAGTCGACTCAAAAGTCACCTCGAGCATGGGAGGAACGTGGAAACTTTTGAGTCGACTCAAAAGTCACCTCGAGCATGGGAGGAACGTGGAAACTTTTGAGTCGACTCAAAAGTCACCTCGAGCATGGGAGGAACGTGGAAACTTTTGAGTCGACTCAAAAGTCACCTCGAGCATGGGAGGAACGTGGAAACTTTTGAGTCGACTCAAAAGTCACCTCGAGCATGGGAGGAACGTGGAAACTTTTGAGTCGACTCAAAAGTCACCTCGAGCATGGGAGGAACGTGGAAACTTTTGAGTCGACTCAAAAGTCACCTCGAGCATGGGAGGAACGTGGAAACTTTTGAGTCGACTCAAAAGTCACCTCGAGCATGGGAGGAACGTGGAAACTTTTGAGTCGACTCAAAAGTCACCTCGAGCATGGGAGGAACGTGGAAACTTTTGAGTCGACTCAAAAGTCACCTCGAGCATGGGAGGAACGTGGAAACTTTTGAGTCGACTCAAAAGTCACCTCGAGCATGGGAGGAACGTGGAAACTTTTGAGTCGACTCAAAAGTCACCTCGAGCATGGGAGGAACGTGGAAACTTTTGAGTCGACTCAAAAGTCACCTCGAGCATGGGAGGAACGTGGAAACTTTTGAGTCGACTCAAAAGTCACCTCGAGCATGGGAGGAACGTGGAAACTTTTGAGTCGACTCAAAAGTCACCTCGAGCATGGGAGGAACGTGGAAACTTTTGAGTCGACTCAAAAGTCACCTCGAGCATGGGAGGAACGTGGAAACTTTTGAGTCGACTCAAAAGTCACCTCGAGCATGGGAGGAACGTGGAAGCTTTTGAGTCGACTCAAAAGTCACCTCGAGCATGGGAGGAACGTGGAAACTTTTGAGTCGACTCAAAAGTCACCTCGAGCATGGGAGGAACGTGGAAACTTTTGAGTCGACTCAAAAGTCACCTCGAGCATGGGAGGAACGTGGAAACTTTTGAGTCGACTCAAAAGTCACCTCGAGCATGGGAGGAACGTGGAAACTTTTGAGTCGACTCAGAAGTCACCTCGAGCATGGGAGGAACGTGGAAACTTTTGAGTCGACTCAAAAGTCACCTCGAGCATGGGAGGAACGTGGAAACTTTTGAGTCGACTCAAAAGTCACCTCGAGCATGGGAGGAACGTGGAAACTTTTGAGTCGACTCAAAAGTCACCTCGAGCATGGGAGGAATGTGGAAACTTTTGAGTCGACTCAGAAGTCACCTCGAGCATGGGAGGAACGTGGAAACTTTTGAGTCGACTCAAAAGTCACCTCGAGCATGGGAGGAACGTGGAAACTTTTGAGTCGACTCAGAAGTCACCTCGAGCATGGGAGGAACGTGGAAACTTTTGAGTCGACTCAAAAGTCACCTCGAGCATGGGAGGAACGTGGAAACTTTTGAGTCGACTCAGAAGTCACCTCGAGCATGGGAGGAACGTGGAAACTTTTGAGTCGACTCAAAAGTCACCTCGAGCATGGGAGGAACGTGGAAACTTTTGAGTCGACTCAAAAGTCACCTCGAGCATGGGAGGAACGTGGAAACTTTTGAGTCGACTCAAAAGTCACCTCGAGCATGGGAGGAACGTGGAAACTTTTGAGTCGACTCAAAAGTCACCTCGAGCATGGGAGGAACGTGGAAACTTTTGAGTCGACTCAAAAGTCACCTCGAGCATGGGAGGAACGTGGAAACTTTTGAGTCGACTCAAAAGTCACCTCGAGCATGGGAGGAACGTGGAAACTTTTGAGTCGACTCAAAAGTCACCTCGAGCATGGGAGGAACGTGGAAACTTTTGAGTCGACTCAAAAGTCACCTCGAGCATGGGAGGAACGTGGAAACTTTTGAGTCGACTCAAAAGTCACCTCGAGCATGGGAGGAACGTGGAAACTTTTGAGTCGACTCAAAAGTCACCTCGAGCATGGGAGGAACGTGGAAACTTTTGAGTCGACTCAAAAGTCACCTCGAGCATGGGAGGAACGTGGAAACTTTTGAGTCGACTCAAAAGTCACCTCGAGCATGGGAGGAACGTGGAAACTTTTGAGTCGACTCAAAAGTCACCTCGAGCATGGGAGGAACGTGGAAACTTTTGAGTCGACTCAAAAGTCACCTCGAGCATGGGAGGAACGTGGAAACTTTTGAGTCGACTCAAAAGTCACCTCGAGCATGGGAGGAACGTGGAAACTTTTGAGTCGACTCAAAAGTCACCTCGAGCATGGGAGGAACGTGGAAGCATGACAGTCGACTCAAAAGTCACCTCGAGCATGGGAGGAACGTGGAAACTTTTGAGTCGACTCAAAAGTCACCTCGAGCATGGGAGGAACGTGGAAACTTTTGAGTCGACTCAAAAGTCACCTCGAGCATGGGAGGAACGTGGAAGCATGACAGTCGACTCAAAAGTCACCTCGAGCATGGGAGGAACGTGGAAACTTTTGAGTCGACTCAAAAGTCACCTCGAGCATGGGAGGAACGTGGAAGCATGACAGTCGACTCAAAAGTCACCTCGAGCATGGGAGGAACGTGGAAACTTTTGAGTCGACTCAAAAGTCACCTCGAGCATGGGAGGAACGTGGAAACTTTTGAGTCGACTCAAAAGTCACCTCGAGCATGGGAGGAACGTGGAAACTTTTGAGTCGACTCAAAAGTCACCTCGAGCATGGGAGGAACGTGGAAACTTTTGAGTCGACTCAAAAGTCACCTCGAGCATGGGAGGAACGTGGAAACTTTTGAGTCGACTCAAAAGTCACCTCGAGCATGGGAGGAACGTGGAAAATTTTGAGTCGACTCAAAAGTCACCTCGAGCATGGGAGGAACGTGGAAACTTTTGAGTCGACTCAAAAGTCACCTCGAGCATGGGAGGAACGTGGAAACTTTTGAGTCGACTCAAAAGTCACCTCGAGCATGGGAGGAACGTGGAAACTTTTGAGTCGACTCAAAAGTCACCTCGAGCATGGGAGGAACGTGGAAGCATGACAGTCGACTCAAAAGTCACCTCGAGCATGGGAGGAACGTGGAAACTTTTGAGTCGACTCAAAAGTCACCTCGAGCATGGGAGGAACGTGGAAACTTTTGAGTCGACTCAAAAGTCACCTCGAGCATGGGAGGAACGTGGAAGCATGACAGTCGACTCAAAAGTCACCTCGAGCATGGGAGGAACGTGGAAGCATGACAGTCGACTCAAAAGTCACCTCGAGCATGGGAGGAACGTGGAAGCATGACAGTCGACTCAAAAGTCACCTCGAGCATGGGAGGAACGTGGAAGCATGACAGTCGACTCAAAAGTCACCTCGAGCATGGGAGGAACGTGGAAGCATGACAGTCGACTCAAAAGTCACCTCGAGCATGGGAGGAACGTGGAAGCATGACAGTCGACTCAAAAGTCACCTCGAGCATGGGAGGAACGTGGAAGCATGACAGTCGACTCAAAAGTCACCTCGAGCATGGGAGGAACGTGGAAGCATGACAGTCGACTCAAAAGTCACCTCGAGCATGGGAGGAACGTGGAAGCATGACAGTCGACTCAAAAGTCACCTCGAGCATGGGAGGAACGTGGAAGCATGACAGTCGACTCAAAAGTCACCTCGAGCATGGGAGGAACGTGGAAGCATGACAGTCGACTCAAAAGTCACCTCGAGCATGGGAGGAACGTGGAAGCATGACAGTCGACTCAAAAGTCACCTCGAGCATGGGAGGAACGTGGAAGCATGACAGTCGACTCAAAAGTCACCTCGAGCATGGGAGGAACGTGGAAGCATGACAGTCGACTCAAAAGTCACCTCGAGCATGGGAGGAACGTGGAAGCATGACAGTCGACTCAAAAGTCACCTCGAGCATGGGAGGAACGTGGAAGCATGACAGTCGACTCAAAAGTCACCTCGAGCATGGGAGGAACGTGGAAGCATGACAGTCGACTCAAAAGTCACCTCGAGCATGGGAGGAACGTGGAAGCATGACAGTCGACTCAAAAGTCACCTCGAGCATGGG